GCAGCCAATCAACAATTCTATCATTGATGTTTCTATCTCTCTCCCTCTCCCTTACTCTCTGAGATAAAAAAAAAAAGAAAAGAAAAGGAGGATGGGGAGGGGAGGGAAGATAAATAGGCATGAATAAATCAAAATGAGTAACCCAATACCAAAGGCATATGCAATTAGACTGTATTTTTAAAAAATATATATTTTATTGATTTTTACAGAGAGGAAGGGAAAGGGATAGTTAGAAACATCCATGAGAGAGAAACATTGATCAGCTGCCTCCTGCACACTCCCTACTGGGGATGTGCCCGTAACCAAGGTACATGCCCTTGACCAGAATGGAACCTGGGACCCCTCAGACTGCCGGCTGACGCTCTATCTACTGAGCAAAACTGGTTAGGGCTAGACTAGACTAATGTATTTTAAGTCATTTTTTTAACTTTCAAAATAAGGGGAAGAGAAGGGTTCCATTTCCAATGAACATTCAAATAGAGAAAATTTAGTCCATTTAAAATTTGTGAACTCAATTAGCCAACTTTAACAATACCTTTAAATGAGCTGTTCAAGAGACTTCCATACCCATACTGTAAAATCTTAACCCTTTGCGGTCCAATTTTATTTTTGGAATTCAAACAGTCTGGGCCAAATTAATTGACGGGATTGAATGTTGAAGTTATCTGTCTCACTAGACCTCAGCTCGACATTGGACCTGCTCCTAGCGCCTGGTCTGTCGAGTCAGCCTCCACGTTGGACTGAAAAGGGTTAAAATAGCAGAGAGAATACTCCGGAAAAGAGTAACAGAAAATTAACTTACCTATCTGAGAACCCAATCTTAATTCAATTAACCCTCTTTAATGAAAACAGCCCCTTGGCACAGTGCTGCTGCAAAATAAGGTCTGCCTCTCCTCACATATGCTATGGAAACATTAAGTTTTTTTTCTGCTTTAAAGCAGTTTTTAAGTTATCACAATATAAGAAAATTTACAACATTAGTCAAGTTAATTGCACATACTCTTTCCTAGAGACCCCATATACCTCAAACTAGATTCTGTCATCTAAATATCACTTTGTTGTCCAGTTTACAGAAGGCAATTTCATCTGCCTTGCACGTAACTACATAGTACTTAGCAAATAAATAAATGAATTCTAGTTATTAGTTTTCTGTTAAAAAATATTTCTGGGGCTCTGCTGAACAGTGTGGTCCAAATTACAAATAACCTGAGGACCACCACAAAGGAAATTGATATAAATGAGTCAGATTAATATGCCTGGGGAGTTGATTACTTAGGACAGGGGCTGGTAAAACATGACTCTCGAGCTAAGAATGACTTGTATGTTTTTTAAAAATGTTTTTATTGATTTCAGAGAGGAAGCGAGGGGGAGCTAGAAACATCAATGATGAAAGAGAATCATTGAGCGGCTGCCTCTCACAAGCCCCTACTGGGGATCAAGCCCACAACCCGGCTGTTTGCCCTGGACGGGAATGGAACCCAGGATCCTTCAGTCTGCAGGCAGACACGCTCTATCCACTGAGCCAAACCTGTTTCACATTTTTAAAAGGATTGTCAAAAGGAGTGAACAAACAAGTCAACCAGCAAAGAATATGACAGAGATTCTATGTGGCCCACAATGCCTAAAATATTTATGATCTTGCCCTTTACAGAAGAAAGCCGAATTGGATAAATGGGGGATCATTATAAAATATCAGCAGGAATAAAATGTAACAAAATTCTCACCTTAGGAAGGTTAGTTCAGAAAATAAACTTTAAGTAAATCTAGAGGGGTATTTTAATAAATGAGGTGTGAGAGGTTGCATTATTTCAACAATTGTTTACTGAGTATAAAAATGTACCAAACTCCATGCTAGACTCCAGGAATAAAATTATTAAAAAGGAAGGATTTACAGGCTAGTTGGGATTAAATACATAAATTATGTGTTAAGCTTCTAAAAATGGTACCCAAAAAACCCCAGCAAGAAACACAAGGACCCTGGTCGGATAGCTTGGTTGGTTAAGAGCATCGTTGTGATATGCCAAGGTTGCAGGTTCCATCTCTGGTCAGGGCACATACAGGAAACAACCAATGAATGCATAAATAAAGAAGTGGAACAATAAATCGATGTTTCTCTCTAAAAATCAATCAACAAAATAAGTAAAAAATTTTTATGCTGAAAGGCTTCCATCCCTTAGAATAGAGCTCAACTTTCTCATTTTAAAAATGAGATCCAGCAACATTAGCTGACTCATCTGAAGATGATACTCCTGTGTCCTGTTTTGTTTAAAAAATAAATAAATAAAGACGATACTCCTCACTGTCTACTATTAACAAATGGTGCTGTATCAAACAATTAAAGATTCTGATTTTCACAACATTGGTCCTTTTATAAAAAATTTTTGTTCTCCTGGTTATTCTTAAGGACTCTTTCAGATACATCTCTGATGTACTAAGTGTTGATAAAACGTACACTTTGTAAATAAGAAATTGCAAAAACTGGGAGCACTGCTGTCACTTCTCACAGTGCCTGATACACCAAGAGCGCATTCCAGAACCACTGGCACAGCTCACTTTTACAGTTATCATGACTAGAACTGAAACCCACCTTTCTAGGGAAAAGCCAACATCTAGGCAGGCAATAAAAGTTTTCTGGGTTTATTTAGCAATACATGCTTAACATCACGAAAGACTGGCTTTTAAAGGAATTCCAATGCCCTTGGCTTAAGACACCTGGTCTTACAGGCTGCCTAATGACACCCAACAGCCATTTCCATCTGTAAACACACCACAGGTCAACAAAACCACCCTGTCACTCAACAGACAGGAACGATAAGCAGCGGTTTAGCTCACGCAGAACTTTTATTTACTCAAGCATATTTTAAACTAGCATAATGAAACTACCACCCCCAACCAATTGAATATTGAAATTTCTCTAACAATTATAACCTTTTACCCTAAGTTTGGTTCAGTGGATGGAGCTTCAGCCGGCAGACTGGGTCCCAGGTTTGATTCCAACCAGGAGCACATGCCTCATTCAGCTGCAGGCTCAATCCTTGGCCCCGGATGGGGACGTGCAGGAGGCATACGATGTGTCTCTCTCTCACACACACATCGATGTTTCTCTCTCGATCTCTCCTGGTCCCTTCCACTATCTCTAAAGCTCAAGGGAAAAGGATCCTCGGTGAGAATGAAAAAAAACCTTTTTAAATTTCTAAGCTTTTAATTTAGCAGGGACTTCTATATAAACACTTTAAACTGCAAAACTGCCCTGGACTCCAACATTTGCTCTAGTGGAAGGCCACCATTGTTTCTTGAAATTTACATTTGGTTTAAAACCCTAGTAAAGCTCAAGACTAGCATACACACATTTTTTCCAGTGCAAAGAAATAGTTGGATTTAATACTAGGCCACTTCTCCGGGAATTATGTCTTTTTATTGAAGGAGGAACTGCAGAAACACGTTTGAGTCGATTTCATTTTTAAAAACATGAGACACGGTGAAATACATTAAGAGGCCCAAAACAAAGGAAAACATTAAATCGATTAGTTGCATAAAATACAAAATAGCCTGCCAGCTGTTTGAAACCTTATTCTTCATATATATATATATAAATAGGTTGCAAATTCAAACAATTCAGTGTGTGTGTGGGGGGGACCATCCTTACTAATTACTGATATCTCAACTAATAGGGACAGTAAACTACATATTTTTCATTATGCTTACCAGTACTATTTATTTTCGAAAATGAGAAAAAATCCTTTTAGTCACTGGAAAAGAATGCAAAATGCCTGCATTTTTCTTTTAACGGGATTAAGTAAAAATGAAGTAATTACACAATACTGTAACGAGATCCATCGGGTTCGGGCGTCTTAAGCCCAAAGCAGGCTTAATGTTTAGAAGAGATGACTTAAGAGCTTTATTTTTAAAAATTTAAGGTTAAATAGGACACCTAAGAGTGTTCTATTTAACGCAACGACCCAAAGATAGGGCTTGATTATAATGCTTCGGCAAGACTTCAAACCGATTATATCATGAGCCGCTCGGGAAACGGAGCATCAATCGGAATCCGTCGTTCCAAAGCCTTTTCTAATGAAGTCGAATTTTCACTCCCTTCCACCAACATCTTCCCCAGTGAGGAATCAACGAAGGTTTACACAGACGAAACGCTAACTGAAACTATGCAACTAGAATCATCTTATTGAACGTAAGCAAAAAACAAACAAAAAAAGACACAACGCTACAAGACTGCTTTTTTCACCTTTCTATCCCTTCTAGACTTTACTTGACCCAGTATTTTTCAGACGACCCGGATCACTTTTCTCTCCGCCCCATCGCGAACGTATTCCCAAGTCCTTAATGAAACTCCATGTAAATCAATGACCCGGGGGAATTAAGCTTAACTGAAGGCAGTTCTGCGGGCCGAAAGGGAAAAATAAAAGGGAAGAGGAAAGTTCTGGAAAAAGACACTCCTTGCAGCTCCCCACCCCCACAGACACCGCGTTAGTCCCCCTCCCTGAGGCCGGCAGCCATGATGGCGGGCGCAGAAGAAGGCCGCGGCGCCATTTTGTCCACACACGCGCGGACAACAGCTCCGGCAGCCGTTCGCGCACTTTTTGAGAGGAGCCGAAAAATATCCCTGGTTTCCAACTCAGATTCGGCACCTACCTCCATAGTCAGAGTCCTGGCCGCTAAAGCGGCTCCTCTACTTGCCGCTCTCAACAGTACTAGTCGCCCTGACGCTTCGCCACAGACTGAACAACTCGGGCAAAAAGACCCGGATGGCACAAAGGGGAAGAGGCCCGGCGTTCCGCACAGCTTGCTGGGAGGAAAGAGGGTGGTGATAAGACTCTCTATAGCAACGTGGTGATCGGGGCAGTGATTGGTTGCTCTTTGGAAGGGGGCGTGGAATGCCTGGAAGGAGGGCGGAGCCACTAGAGGGCTCAGCCTGGCGACCGGAAAGGGTGGGCTTTAGGGTGGGGCGACTTCCTATTTCGATTCTACAGCAATCTTGGACTTGTCCGGCCGCCGTAAGAGGGGTTGGGCTTGGTCTTCTCCCGCCAATTTAAAGTCGGGCTAGACTAGAATCTGAAGACCTTAAGGGCGGTTGGCGTCCGAAAGAGCGGCCCTAAAACTGAGTGTTCCGCTTTAGTTTCTCCAGTTGCAGGTGAGGATTGTCTGTGTGTGTGCGTGTGTGTGTGTGTGTGGGGGGGGGGTTGTCGCGCTGCTGTAGGCACTGGGAGTGGGTCCAGGTCGAAGTAGCAGCGCCCTCAGCACAGTTTGGGGTGTTTTCCCTTCCAGACTCTGGTGGGAGAGGTTGGAGTCGGTTCTTACTGGTCCCGGCGTCCAGCCGACGTTGATGCACGGTGGTCTGATTGATACGGTTGCGTTTCGCTTAATTCGCGGATCTGTTCTCCAGCCAGCAGCTAAAGTGCTCTCACGTCATTAGTTAAATCGTATCACTCAGTTTGCTTCGTGTCTTCTCCCTTGTCCTGAGGATAAACCCAACCTGGAAGTCGAGGATGCGTTTAGCTCCCGCACTGTTCCATCCTCACCCGAAACTCGTCCCGGCCTCTGAGACTTGGCAACTAATAGTTGGCTTCTTGCTGTTCGGGTCTCAGCTTAGATTTCATCTCCTTCCCTTTCCAAAGAGGTCCTCCTTAAGAGACCCTCCCCATCCCTTAGCACCGTTTTGTTTACTTGATACACTTGACCTGTTTGTAATTGTTTGTGCGTTTGTTTATTTTTTCGTAGGGAGGGAGTGTAACAGGTCATAGCAGGCGGAGATTGGCGTTTTCTTGTCTGGCTGCATCATTTACTCGCTTTAGGTGCCCGTGGCCGTTTATTTAATCTCATCTGTCAAATGGGCTGTTGTGTTGACTAAATGAATAAAGCATTCCAAACTATCTTGTATACTCAATACGTGTTAACTATTTCATTTATGACCTTCCTACAAGAATATACACTTCATGCCTGGCCGGTGTCTCTCAATGGTTGAGCATCAACCAGGAGGTCACCATTGGATTCCTGGTTAGGGCACATGCCTGGGTTGTGGGCTCTGTCCCCAGTAGGGGGCGTGCAGGAGACAGCCGATTAATGATTCTCATAAATGATAGTTCTCTCCATTCTCCCTCCCTCCCTCTCCCCTCCCTTCCTCTCTAACATCAATAAGAACATATTTTTAAAAAAAGAATATACACTTCATAATGATAAAACTCTTTTCTGCCATCACTATTTTTACAGATGTGGGACACTGAGACCCATAGAAGTATTCACTCTACTAGTATCCTGCCACGCCTGTCTTAATCTCCCAACTCCCACGGGAACACCAGCCACTAAAACTATGGGCTATTCTGATAAGCTTTCTTTCTGTGCCCTTGCTTACACTCTTAGTAAGAACTCTTCTCCTGTATTTAAAGAGCTCCTCACTGTTGTCCACCTGAAACTAATATGACTTTGTTTGTTAACTCTAATTGAAAAATAGCCCTAGCTGGTTTTGCTCAGTGGATAGAGTGTCAGCCTGCGGACTGAAGGGTCCCGGGTTGCAGGCTTGATCCCTGGGGCACGCAGGAAGCAGCCAATCCATGATTCTTTCTCATCATTGATGCTTCTATCTCCCTCTCCCTCTTCCTTCCTCTCTGAAATCAATTAAAATATATTTAAAAAAATAAAAACCTGTGACTTTAAATTATTACTGCTTCCACCAATAGCAATAATAAATTCGCTAACCCTTAAAAATTGAGTGCTTTCCATGAACCAAGAATTATTTTTTTCATAATATATTTTATTGATTTTTTTACAGAGAGGGAGAGAGAGGGAGAGTTAGAAACATCAATGAGAGAGGAACATCGATCAGCTGCCTTCTGCACACTCTCTACTGGGGATGTGCCTGCAACCAAGGTATATGCCCTTGACTGGAATCGAACTTGGGACCCTTGAGTCCGCAGGCCGATGCTCCATCCACTGAGCCAAACCGGTTAGGGCCCAAGAATTATTTTGTGAACATTTAAAACTCATAACCTATCAGGTAGGTACAACTATATTCTTATTCTATAGGTTAGCAAATTGAGAAACAAAGATTAAGTTGCTTGCTAAAGGACAAGTAAATATGGAAGAGCACATAGTTTAAATAAAAATTTTCCTTCCCTGTGCTGTACTTGCCATAGATTTTAAAACATATTCTGATGTGTATCAACATAATTGTAATTAGCCGGACTGGCGTGGCTCTGGTTGAGAGTCAACCTATGAACCAGGAGGTCACGGTTTGATTCCCGGTCAGGGCACATGCCTGGGTTGCGGGCTTGATCCCCAATGTGGGGTGTGCAGGAGGCAGCCAATCAGTGATTATCTTTCATCATTGATGTTTTTCCCTCTCCCTTTCTCAAGTCAATAAAAAAATATATATTAAAAAAAACAATTGTAATTATTTGTTTATTGTTCCCCAGCAGTCTTAAAGTCTTTTTTTTTTTTTAAATATATTTTATTGATTTTTTACAGAGAGGAAAGGAGAGGGATAGAGAGTTAGAAACATCAATGAGAGAGAAACATCAATCAGCTGCCTCCTGCACACTCCCCACTGGGGATATGCCCGCAACCAAGGTACATGCCCTTGACCGGAATCGAACCTGGGACCCTTGAGTCCGCATGCCGACGCTCTATCCATTGAGCCAAACTGGTCAGGGCATCAGTCTTAAAGTCTTAATCCAGAGATTGTTTTTCATTTTTCATCTTAGTATTCTGCTCTGACTCAGACCGCACATAAAATGACTTATATAAATCTTCGTTGAGATGGTTATATGACTAAGGTTACAGATATATTCTTTGATTCAGCCAGAAACCTAATCCAGGTTTTTCTTCTTCCCCAGTATTGTTCATTTTTGTAAGATACTGGAAACATAAATGGGTATTTATTTATTACTATTTTTTAAATCTCATCTGTCTTCTATGATATAGATTACCCCATTTTTAAAAAAATATTTTTTTTATTGATTTCAGAGAGGGAGCGATAGAAACATCAATGATGAGACACAATCATTGATCAGCTGCCTCCTGCATGCCCCCCACTGGGGATCGAGTGGGCAATCCACGCATGTGCCCTGACCGGAATCGAACCCTGACCTTCTGATTCATAAGTCAATGCTCAACCACTGCGCCACACTGCCTGAGATAATGGACATTTTTTTAAAGTTCATCTGGAACCTTACCATCCTAAGATACCCCATACAATCTGACTTCAGAGCTTTTATTGATTTTTGGCTCTACTGCTTAAAGGTTTATTTCAAATGAAACCTTGTTATAATTTCAAGCCAGGCACACAAAATGCTAGAAACTCTAGGATGACATTGATAAGATTATAATTGTTACTGTTCCTAAACCAATATGTGCTTATCTGGTAATAATCATAGCCTTTTCGTTTCCCAACAAACTGGATCTGTTAAACAATAAAAACTGGTGTCTAATTTTGCGTATTTTCATAGGGAAGGCAGTGATTCTCGAACCAAAAACAGTCTCGGAAACATGTGGAATGAGATTGAGCTGCTAACAAGTGATGATACAGGAAGTGGATACCTAGGTGTTGGATCAAGAAAAGAACATGGAACTGCTTTATATCAAGTAGATTTACTAGCCAAGATCTCTTCCGAAAAGGTAATGATTCTGGCCGAAACCGGTTTGGCTCAGTGGATAGAGCGTCGGCCTGCGGACTGAAAGGTCCCAGGTTTGATTCCAGTCAAGGGCATGTACCTGGGTTGCGGGCACATCCCCAGTGCGGGGTATGCAGGAGGCAGCCGATTGATGTTTCTATCTCATCGATGTTTCTAACTATCTCTCTCCCTTCCTCTCTGTAAAAAAATCAATAAAATATATTAAAAAAAAAAAAAAAGGTAATGATTCTGATGCTGTTATTCACATAATTTTTACTGAGTGTTTGATAGGCCAGTCGATACCTGGTAAATGTTTTGTGAATGAATATAGCACCCTCTCAGGCAATCGAGGTTCAGTTTCACATTATTGGAAATTTCCATCTGAATTCCCCTTTTATCTTATTTTTTAAATATATTTTATTGATTTTTTTATACAGAGGAAGGGAGAGGGATAGAGAGTTAGAAACATCCATGAGAGAGAAACATCGATCAGCTGCCTCCTGCACACCCCCGACTGGGGATGTGCCTGCAACCAAGGTACATGCCCTTGACCGGAATCGAACCTGGGCCCCTTCAGTCTGAAGGCCAACGCTCTATCCACTGAGCCAAACCAGCTAGGGTCCCCTTATATCTTAAGATTGGTATTTTCAAACAGAACTTTTCCTAGATCAGGAAGGAGGAAATAAAACTGTCTTTGTTCTCACATGACATGATGTCCATGTCGAAAATCTGAAAGAATCGACAAAGAAAACTGTAATAATAAGTGATGATAGCATGGTTGCAGGATATAAGGTTAATATGCAAAGTCAGCAGCTCTCCCTGGTACCAGCAATGAACAAGTGGAATTTTAAATTAAAAATACAATCAAATGAAATCTGTGACCTTGGATCAGGCAAAGCCATTTTAGATAAGATGTTAAAAGCACAAGCAATGGAGAACGAGATAAATTGCACCTTAGCTGTATATTACTAAGTGAAAGAAGCCAATCTGGAAAGGCTACATTCTCCGTGATTCCAACTAGACTGTATGACATACTGAGTAAGGAGAAGACAGAAAAGGACCAGTGGTTGCCAGGTATTGGGGTTGGGAAGGAGGGATGAATAGGCAGAGAACAAGATTTTTAGGGCAGTGAAAATACTCTGTATGGCACCATAAGGATAGCTGCCTGTCATTTGTCTAGACACACAGAATGTACACCACCAAGAGTGAACTATAACGGAAACTATGTACTTGGGGTGATTATGTTGTGTCAATGTAGCTTCATCCTTTGTAACAAATCTTCTGGTGAGAGATGCTGATAATGGAGTCTATGGATGTGTGGGAGCCGGGGGTATATGGGAAATCAGTTTCGCTATGAACTTAAAACTGCTCTGAAAAAATAATCTTAAAAAAGAGTTAGCCCTAACCGGTTTGGCTCAGTGGATAGAGCGTCGGCCTGCGGACTGAAAGGTCACAGGTTCGACTCCGGTCAAGGGCATGTACGTTGGTTGCGGGCACATCCCCAGTAGGAGGTGTATGGGAGGCAGCTTGATCGATGTTTCTCTCTCATCGATGTTTCTAACTCTCTATCCCTCTCCCTTCCTCTCTGTAAAAAATCAATAAAAATATATTTTTTTAAAAAAAGAGTTAAACTGTTCAAGCAGAGAGAACAGCGTGGATTCATCCCCAGAAGGTGAAAGCACAGTTCGTGTTTTGTTGCCTTTGTGTAACTTTTCACTAGTCGAAGAAGCAAGTAAAAGAGCATAAGGGGTCAGAATGAGGTGGAGTTTTCAAGAATTACACCTGGAGAAGGTGACCAATGAAGTAGGCATAAAATGAACCGATTAGCCTAAAACTGAGCTGTGGAAGAATATAGTTAACGTTTATTAAGCATGCTGTATGCAAGGCTGTTTTCTAAGCCCTTTACATGAGTTAATTTCACCTCCAAACAAGCCAGTGTTGTAGATATTATTAAAGGGTGTCCCAAAATTCACGCAAGAAGTAATTTTGATAGAAAACATGGGTTTATAATTAAAAATTATAAATGTTTTATTGACTCATAAAGTATACAGTATAGGGTTATGTATGGAATAGCATATCGGGTAAATGGCCTCCACGGCTTTGCTGGCACATATGCACTCTTTTGTTGAAATTTTCCATTACCGAAATGCAGCTGCTCAGGCAATAACAGTTAATGGCGCTTGCTATTGCGACATGAAAATCCAGTTTTTTGTGCCTAAATTGCAAGATATGGATGTGGACGACATGTGGTTTCAACAAGATGGTGCCACATGCTAAACGGCCCGAGAAACAATTCAGTTACTGCATGAGTCATTTTCTGGTCGTGTAATTTCCCCTTTTGGTGATCAGAATTGGCCGCCCAGATCATGCGATTTAATGCCGTTGGACTTTTTCTTTGGGGTTTTTTGAAGTCTAAGGTTTATGCCAACAAGCCCACGACCACCCACGCCTTGAAGGAGGAAATTGAGCGCTGTATCAACGAAATTCAGCCACATTTATGCAAAACGGTCATGGAAAATTTCAACAAAAGAGTACATATGTGCCAGCAAAGCCGTAAAAGCCATTTACCCGATATGCTATTCCATACGTAACCCTATACTGTATACTTTATGAATCAATAAAAAATTTACAATTTTTAATGATAAACCTGTGTTTTCTATCAAAATTACTTCTTGCGTGAATTTTGGGACACCCTGTATTGTCCCTATTTTACAGGAGCGTCAGTTGAGACATTTGTCCAGAGTACTCAGCTTTTTCAATCACCAAACTGTCCAACTGCTTCGCGGTACATATGTGTGGGAAGCTTTAATCAACAGAAGCTGAAAGCAGGAGACTCATATTTGGCTTGCATAGGGTTTTTTACAATGTTGACTTAGCTGCCAGTGTTTAAAAATCAGAACATTTCACATAAAGATGCAGCTTTTCTTTTTTTAAAAAAATATATTGATTTTTTTTACAGAGAGGAAGGGAGAGGGATAGAGAGTTAGAAACATCCATGAGAGAGAAACATCGATCAGCTGCCTCCTGCACACCCCCCACTGGGAATGTGCCCCCAACCAAGGTACATGCCCTTGACCGGAATCGAACCTAGGACCCTTGTGTTTTTTTTTTTTTTTTTTTTTTTAGTTTTATTCATTTCAAACGGGCCGTAGTTTGCCCACCTCTGCTCTAGCCACTGAGCCAAACTGGTCAGGGCGAGGCAGCTTTTCTTGATAAATTGGAAGATGTGGCCATGCCAGGCATCCCAAGGGGCTTTAATCTGGCTGATTTTGCTTTCTCTCTCTCTCTCTCTCTCTCTCTCTCTCTCTCTCTCTTCTTTACTGGAACGCTTCACGAATTTGCAGGTCATCCTTGCACAGGGGCCACGTTCATCTTCTCGGTATGGTTCCACTTTTAGTATGTGTGCTGCCAAAGCAAGCACTGATGTTGCTCTCTCTGTTTGTGTGGGCATGTACTCTCCAGTTCACGGTACACCGCAGTCCCCCTCCCCGTCATGTCCCAGACCTTGAGACTTTATGCCAATCCTGGTTTGTTTATGTTGATGCCTGCTGGCTCCTATTGGCCTGAGATCAACCCGTAGGGAACCAAGGCTTGTGTTTAGGAAACCTTTGTCCTTTCCTAGCAATCCTGGACTATTTCCCTATTTTGTAATCTGGGTGGATTCAAGATACACTGTACAAAGAAAAAAACTTGACCAATTAGACACATGGGCTAAAAAATAAAAATAAAATAAAAATAGGCCTGCCAGGTTTTAAACTTGGGTACTCGGGACTATGATGCTACTGTTGGTCAGTATTGTTAAACATGCATAAAAATATCTTATTTTGCCGAAACCGGTTTGGCTCAGTGGATAGAGCGTCGGCCTGCAGACTGAAGGGTCCCGGGTTCGATTCCGGTCAGGGGCATGTGCCTGGGTTGCGGGCACATCCCCAGTAGGAGATGTGCAGGAGGCAACTGATCGATGTTTCTCTCTCATCGATGTTTCCAACTCTCTATCTCTCTCCCTTCCTCTCTGTAGAAAATCAATAAAATATATTAAAAAAATATATATATCTTATTTTACTCATGCTTTTCCCTCCCACAGGCCTCATTAAATCCAAAGATACAAGCATGCAGCTTAAGTGATGGGTTTATCATTATAGCCGACCAGTCAGTGATACTGCTTGACAGTATTTGTAGATCGCTTCAGTTGCACCTTATATTTGGTAAGTGTAACATACTGTAAAACAATAAAATAAATTGGAAGCCACGTATTTGCTACCAATTTCTACTGCAATGCCTTCTCTTTATTACCTCTAAGACTCGAAATTGGACGAATTTCAAGACATTAATCTTGAGTGCCTTTTTTGTGCTGAGTTATTAGACTCCAAAGATATTGGGGTGAACCCTTCTCAGTAGGTCTAAGGCAGCGGTTCTCAAACTGTGGGTCGCGACCCCTTGGGCAGTCGAACGACCCTTTCACAGGGGTCGCCTAAGACCATCCTAATTATCAGATATTTACATTACGGTTCATAACAGTAGCAACATTATTACGGTTATGAAGTAGCAACAAAAATAATTTTATGGTTGGGTCACAACACGAGGAACTGTATTTAAAGGGCCAGAAGGTTGAGAACCACTGGTCTAAGGGGAAACATACAGGTAAAGCTACAATTTACTGGCATGGCTTTTGTATTAGAATACAGTAGGAAACAGTTGAGCCCAGTTGTGTTCAGGTACCTGAATCTTGTACATAATTTCAGTATCATCAACGGGTATTTGAATATTTTTAGAATGTGTAGCACTATAAAAAGCTTTTTCAATACTTATGACTTCATTGAGTTAAAGATATGCAAATATGGACTTTAGAGTAAATTAAGAGAGAAGTGATTGTGCTGGAAACAGGTGAAAATATTGTGAAAGCTTTTTCTGAAAATTTAAGAGGAAGATGATGGTTGAAGTGTTTGCATAAGAACTGAGATGACTGAAAAGAAATCCAGGTATGCTTGTGAGAACACAATCTCGATTACACTATGGAGGCAAGATGCTTCTAATCTTACCGTTTCTACCCTGATGGGTCCACAAAATTCAGTTTCACCAATGAAGTCATGGGCCGTGTTAGTGTCTGATACATTTGTAGAAGGTACTTCTACTGAGCCCGGCTGGTGTCCCTCCCTCAGTGGCTGAGGGTCGATCTATAAACCAGGAGGTCACGGTTCAATTCCTGGGCAGGGTTGCAGGCTTGATCTCCTGGTGGGGGGTGTGCGGGAGGTAGCCTATTGACTATTATGGACCCAGGAAATGTTTAAGAACTTGTACGAAACACATGAAATACAAGTATATAGAGCAGTACCTAACTTTATGGCCTTGCTGAATCACGAGATTTCAGGTAAAGTAAATGTAACTTGGAATTTTGGATGTGATTTTTAAAAAAATATATTTTATTGATTTTTTACAGAGTGGAGGGGAAAGGGATAGTTAGAAACATCAGTGAGAGAGAAACATCGATCAGCTGCCTCCTGCACACTCCCCACTGGGGATGTGCCCGCAACCAAGGTACATGCCCTTGACTGGAATCGAACCTGGGACCCATGAGTCCGCAGGCGGATGCTCTATCCGCTGAGCCAAACCGGTTAGGGCTAATTTCAATTCTTAAGCAGTTTACATGCTACTGCTTTTATTCCTTCCCGTTCCCCTCTCAGCCTCCATTTCACTCCCTTAGGCCTCTTGCTGTTGCACAAACAAGAACTTCACCTCCTTCAAGTCTTTGTTCATATCTCACCTGAGCACTCTAATACTGTGCCGTGCAAGACTCCTCTGATACCCTTCCAGGCATGTTGATCATGAACCTCCTGTGTTCCAGGCACTGTGCCTGAAGATGGGTTGCATGCACCATCCCCAGTAGGGGTGTGTGCAGGAGGCAGCTGATCTATTCTTCTCTCTCATCATTGATGTTTCTATCTTTCCCTCTCCTTTCCTCTCTGAAATCAATAGAAATATATATTATTTTAAAAGATACTGCTACTGAATAATTTCAATTCTTTTTTTGTTTTAATTTTTTAAAAAAAAATATATTTTATTGATTTTTTACAGAGAGGAAGGAGAGGGATAGAGAGTTAGAAACATCCATGAGAGAGAAACATCGATCAGTTGCCTCCTGCACACCTGCTCCTGGGGATGTGCCCGCAACCAAGGTACATGCCCGT